TTTAGAGAAGGTGTTGAAAGCTGGAGACTGGCTGTCCAGAAGAATTTTACTTTCTTTTCAGGGCTTCTCAGATTCCCCTGGAGTACATCCATGTGCTCTCATTTCAGAACTCTTCCCTAAACTCTCATGGAGAACTGTCACAAAGGAATCCTACTTCTCATACTCTTTCATAACTATTTCCAAAATAAAAATTCCTAAATCTAAATTTTAATATGTATTTTCCCCTTTAAATTGTATCAAAATAGAAATAAATTTACCTTTTCAGAAAGCATACTCTAAAGTCGAACTACCTCTACTCCCTCCACATCTTATTTTCTGTCAGACAATGTTGTATTTGCTTACTTGTTTAATTATTTTTGTCCCAACCCTAGACATCCCCAATTCCCAAAACACGCAAACAAGAGAAAGGCTGAGCCTTTATATGTGTCTTTTTTACTTTCATATCCTCACAACCTAACATAGTGACTTCTAAATAGCAAGCGTTTTATCACACACACACACACACACACACACACACACACACACACACACGAGAGAGAGAGAGAGAGAGAGAGAGAGAGAGAGAGAGAGAGAGAGGGAGCGAGAGAGCATGAGCATATGTTTATAAATATATGTTTGTAATGAAAGCACTATCCTAATACTATATCATCAAGACAGACTATGTGTTAACAATTACTTATTAACCGTCAATTTGATGATCACTTAAATGATTTTGCTAGGTTCTTTAGAAAACAACATGTCTTTTAATGACACTCAACTTACTGAAACTGCTTCTCAACAACCGTATTTTATATTCAGAACTACCTTCTGAGATAGCAACAGTCCAATCTTACAGAAGACACTGAAATAGAAAAAGCTTAGGCAGTTAAGATGTCACAGTCAGTTAATGGTGGAAGTTGTTCTAGTCCAACCATTTTGGAATATGTTGGCCATGCTGGTTCCTTGGTTCTAAGGTGCCTTTGTGATTACCTATTTGTGGAGATTTAGGGGACACACTATAAAATACTAGAAGTGGATGTGCTTTGAGAATAGGAGTGTTTTTTGTTTTTTTGTTTTGTTTTGTTTTGTTTTGTTTTTTTTGAGATGGAGTCTTGCTCTGTCGCCCAGGCTGGAGTACAATGGCATGATCTTGGCTCAGTGCGGCCCCTGCCTCCCATGTTCAAGTGATTTTCCTGACTCAGCCTCCTGAGTGGTTGGGTTACAGGCGCCTACCACCACGCCCAGCTAATTTTTGTATTTTTAGTAGAGACAAGGTTTCATCATGTTGGTCTGGTGAGTCTCGAACTCCTTACCTCAGGTGATCCACATGCCTTGGCCTCCCAAAATGCTGGGATTATAGGCATGAGCCACTGCATTCGGCCAAGAATAGAAGTATTATTTAATATTATTGTGCACTGTCCTCATGTTTTTACTGATGTTCTACTGTTTTAGCATAATATTATCTATATCTCTGTGAAAGCTCTCCATTTTGATCTAGATCATTCCAAGGATTGATATGACAGTGATATCATTATCTAACTTGAGTTGGACTCCATTGCGTTTCTTGATTACGAAAATATTTGTGTTGTTGAAATAATGCTTAAAGATTTTAGAATTATCATGTGAGGAGAAAAAAAAATACACATTTCCTTGGATTCTACAGAATCCAGATTCTATTGGGTTTTGACCTTGGGCAAATTACTTAATTCTTACTAGACCTGTGGCAGAGAGAAACTGGGCTGAGGGAGGAAGGGCAGTTAAGGGAATAAGTTGGAGGACAAAATCTAGGTGTAAGTGAAACTAACACTTTTCATACTTTTTAGTTCTTTTCAATTATGTTCACTCCAGAAATTTTCAGAGTATTTGGTAATGAAATAGATCAGTATTTTGCTTATATTTTATCTTTTCTTTTTGTGTAATAATTACATATTTTTCCCCTTCCATTTTGTGGTCATAAGACAAAGAACCATTTCTAAAATGTTTTATCTGCTAGAGAGACTCATTTTATGCTGTTTTTATATGGATAAGTCAGACAGAAGGAAAGGAAATTGATTTTTGTACAGATACTGTATACCACGTGCTCTGTCAGTCATTTCCTGGGTTAATGCAGAAAGCATTCTTTTCAACATGTAATATGTATATTCTGCACTTTGCCAGTGTAGAAAAGCCCTGAATTCTAATGTTCATAAGCTATTAGTCATATACTTATGGAGACTTTTAGATATAAAGAACTAGAAGATAGAGTCTTCTCTTTACAGACGAACAGAGGGAGACCCAGGTAGGGTAAGTAATGGTTTTTAAATGCTATATAACTAGATTCAGGAACATGACTCCCAGAGACCTAGAGACCTCTTCTGTTGGGGAAACTCCCCAAGAGAAGCAATACCTACAGGGAATTTAGAGATAGGTGCATTAGTGAGACGAAGCCCTGGGAGGGGTTGGCTGTGTTGAGAACCATTCCAGGCTCAGGAAGCAGCGGATGGGAGAAGTCCTCAGTCTGGAAGCATCAAGGCACATTCAAGAAAGAGAGACATCAGAACACGAAAAATGGCTGGAAAAGAAAGCAAGGGTAGGGACATGCAGAAGTTTGTGGGCCCAATAATAGGTTATGTGCAAGCAGAGGCCGAGAAGGGGGTTACAAACGCAAGTAGGAGGAAGGAGAGAAAGGCTTTGACTATCATGTTTTGAAGCATCACACATCTGAAATTACCCCCAGAGAGCAGCAATTCAGTGCATGAGCTTTGAGATTAGACTTCTAGAGCTCACGTCTCATCTATTTAGGTAGGTAGATGTAAAGTTGCTTAACTTCTCTGTGCCTCATGGTACTCATTTGTAAGTAGGGGATAATAATGTTACCTACCTCATAGGGTTTTGTGAGAAATAAATGAGAATATACAAGTGCCTGCCACCAGGAAGAACTCCATAAAAGTTTTCTGCAAAATACATTAATCACAATAATTATAGTAATCATTTCAGCCATCTTTTGAGTACAGCAAAGAGCATTCATTCTTCATGTATACATGCATAGGTCCACAATCCCTAATTGCCAATTCTAAATCCCCAAGGCCCTGAAAAATCACGTTTTACTAAAAGTTTGCCATACACTTATTTTGGTGACAGAAGCTGACCTGAATGAATGTGAAACTATTTATGGTCTTTACGTATTGCACTTACTGTGAATATTCATTAGTTTCACTGTGGAAAATATTGCTGTATTCGATTCTGGGTTTTGTTCCAGACTGCTCTGGGAGGGTTATATAAATAGCACTGTATTCTGTTCTAAAATCCAGAAAATTCTGAATTCTAAAACACATACGACTGCAAGCATTTCAGATAAGGAACTTTGAATCTGTATAATCTCACTCAATCCTCAGCCTAACCCTTGATATTGATATTATCATCCCAAACCTGCTGCCATGAAAACTGAGGTTTATCAATAGTTTGCATAATTTGCTCAAAGTCCCATGGTTCATCAGAGACGGAATTGGAATTTTGGTCAAGAATTATCTGACAACACTTGGAACAGTGAGAGACATTTGTAAACTTTCCTATCTCTTATTTATGTATATCTTTTCAGCATTTGCAGAATTTAAATATTTCTATTTTCTAAAGAGCCATAGCTGATGTTTTCAGGAAATGGAAGCATTTTCATAACCTGATGGTTTTCTATTACCTAGAGGTTTTCTAAATAAGGGCCTCCTTTAACAGTGATGGTAGTAAGAATAGTAATTATTATTCCTATTTCAAGTCAGCTATAATGTATCGAGCACTTCTTGTGTGCCAAACATTTAGCAAAGCACTTGGCACACATTATCTCATATAATCCTTACATCAACCCAGTGAGGTAGGTACTATTATTCTCTGTTTTATTAGGAGAAAACTGCAACTTAAAGATATTAAGGAATTGCCAACTGCACACAGATTGTAAGTAACGGAGCAATAATTTGAATCCAGTAGATAGATTGCAGACACTGCATTCTTTTTTTTTTAAAGCTCCTCCTGTGTTTTATAATGATTAAAATAACACATACATATACACATGACAAAAATTACAAACAGTAAAAAAATTACGCAGTCTTCTATTCCAGAATATAATGTAAATATATCACCTCTCACAGTCACCACCACCTACTTTCTTTTGTGTCATGTAGAAATTTGCCTTTGTGCATGCGTGCGTGTGTGTGCACACACACACAGCGTTTCTTTAATACCCATGTGAATATGCACATTGTTCTGTAGCTTACTTTTTTCATATAGCACCATATTGTAGAAACTTTTCCATATCAGCACATAGAAATCTAAATAACTGTTTTACATCTACTTAATGTTTCAGTGTATGGATGTAACAAATTTATTTAACTAGACTCCTTTGGATGACTATTTAGATTGTTTCCAATTTATGGCTCTTGCAAATTTGCTGCAAGTGAATATTTTTACAAAACACTTTTTCATAAAGGTTTGAGCATATTTCTAAAATAAATTTTCAAGCAGTGGAAAATTTATGCTGGGTTAAAAGGACACTGAAGTTTAAAAAAACTGGAAAATATTGACAAATTTTCCCCCCAAAATATTTATTTTCCTAACAGTATGTATTATGAAACTTTTTAAATCCTCTCACATTTGAAGATGAAAACTGTAATGTTTTAGTTTCAATTTAAATTTAATTATTGACAAAGATGAGTACATTTTTCTGTTTACAAAACACTCATGTTTGTACTTCTAAAACTGACAATTCCTTTCCTTTCTCATTTTTTCCATAGGTTCTCAAATATTTTCTTATTGGCTTTCAAGAGCTCTTTATACATTAATGATGAGTGTGTACTCTGTTGCAGATATTTTTCTGAGTTTTTAATTTGTCATTTAATTATATTATGTGTATACTGTAAAAAGTTGTAAATTTTTATGTAGTTAAATGTTTCAGCCTTTTCTTAGAGCCCACGCTCCTAACCATTATGCTAAACTGCCTGTCTAATTTCCAGAATGATGACATTCATTCCAGTTTTATTGTCACTTTTGTTCAGGTGTTTTAACAGAACAAGTGGCAGGTCCTCTGGGACAGAACCTGGAAGTGGAGCCATACTCACAATACAGCAATGTTCAGTTTCCCCAAGTTCAACCACAGATTTCCTCATCATCCTATTATTCCAACCTGGGTTTCTACCCCCAGCAGCCTGAAGAGTGGTACTCTCCTGGAATATATGAACTCAGGCGAATGCCAGCTGAGACTCTCTACCAGGGAGAGACTGAGGTAGCAGAGATGCCCGTAACAAAGAAGCCCCGCATGGGCGCATCAGCAGGGAGGATCAAAGGGGATGAGCTGTGTGTTGTTTGTGGAGACAGAGCCTCTGGGTACCACTATAACGCACTGACCTGTGAGGGATGCAAAGGTAAGTGTTTTCTCCAGATTGGCACTTTTCTCCGTCAGGTTTTACTATACTGGTTGTTGAAATCCCTTGGACTAGATGCTTTTCTTTCCCCAGCCAACTTCCCATTTTCTCCTCCTCTGCTCCTACCTCCTCATCTTTGTTGGGCAGTCATAGATCTATAGGAAGACTGTTAAGAGTATTTAGCTTAGGTAGAAGTAATCTTTTTCCTTTTCAAATCCTCACATATAGCTAAAGACAACTTGGGATTAAATTTAACTTGTTGTAGGTTTTGTTTTTTTGTGTGTGTTCTTTTTAAAGAAAGAAGAAACTGTTTAACTCATCTCTTAAAATTAAGATCAAGAATACAACTTTATTCAATAAATATTTAAAAATACTTTTTCATGTACTTTAGTTAATTGAGAAAGAGATAAAGAAAGAAAGAGCAAAGTAATAATAGCTTATATTTTAAAAAAATTCATTTAGCCTGGGGGTGGTGGCTCATGCCTGTAATCCGGACACTTTGGGAGGCTGAGGTGGCTTGACTGCTTGAATCCAGGAATTCAAGACTAGCTAGAGCAATGTGGAAAATTCCCATCTCTACAAAAAATACAAAAATTAGCCAGGTGTGGTGGGGTATACTCGTTGTCCCAGCTACTTGGAAGGCAGAGGTGGGAGGATCACCTGAACCTGGGAGGTTGAGGCCGCAGTGAGCTATGATCATACCACTACACTCCAGCCTGAGTGACAGGAGAGACCCTGCCTCTCTCCTCTCTCCATATATATATATATATATATATATATATATATATATATATATATGTAATTTAGCAGTAATATAGATTTGTGATAGATGCTATAGAGCAGTTATGAGAAAATTGCAATCCATTTAGGATGGATATATAACAAATATAACAAATGAAATATAAAAATGACAATGTAAAGTCCCATGTGATTACTGTCTCAACTATGGCACAGGTAATAAGTTTGTAAAATTTTAGAGGAAAGAACAGGATAGACTAATAGGTTCATCTGTTTATTGTTGTATTTATTCATTAAACAAATATTTGGGCACACCCACCATAAGCTAGGCACTCTGCTAGCCTCTAGAACATTGAACACTGAATAAAAACTGTCTCTTGAGCAGAATCTTTTGGATGGTGTGCCACATTGGGGTTCTCAGATGCCGATAGTTGCTATGAAAATGAGCAGGGGGCCCAGTCACATAAGAACGGCTCAAAGACATTTCAAACCTTTGAAAATTCAAATGATCAGATTGTGTAAAGCCATATTAGTCACTTCTTAAAAACTGGGAATGACACTGTTAGAATTTTTTTTTAATAAGAAGCATTAATACACCAACTTTAAAAACTAAAGCAGATTTATAAAGAAAACTTAAAAGATCCCATTTATGACCTTCAAAATGCCCTTAACCTTTTTGTGGAGAGTCACATTTGAATAGGTAAATGAACTTATACATTCTTTGGATGCATAGATTTTGTCTTCTCTACCTGTATTACTACTCATAAAACCTAGCACAGTGCCTGGTACATAGGAAATAAGGAGTAAATGTCTTTTGAATGACACAATGAAAAACCATGTTCATCACTGGTACTTAATAAGTCTCTACTTTGTAAAACGGCATTCAAATTTTTTTTCACAATACTGAATTCTTCCCCATCTCCAAATGATAAAAAGTAAATATTACCTTCAATTACTATATGAAGTGGAAGATCTCTTTGGGCTGACAGAATTGTGGAGATCGAGATCTGCTTATGTTATAGATTTTAAAGTGGGGTAGAATTAACGCAGGAAAACATTTCTAATTGGTTAGAAAAATAAAATAGGCCAGGTGCGGTGACTCACATGTGTAAGTCCCAGTAATTTTGGAGGCCAAGGCGGGCAGATCACCTGAGGTTAGAAGTTCAAGACTAGCCTGGCCAACGTGGTGAAACCCCATCTCTACTAAAAGTACAAAAATTAGCTGGGCATGGTAGTGTGCACCTGTAGTCCCAGCTACTCAAGAGGCTGAGGCAGGAGAATTGCTCAAATCCGGGAGGCGGAGGTTGCCATGAGCTGAGATCGTGCCATTGCACTGCAGCCTGGGTGACAGATTGAGACTCCATCTGAAAAAAATAAAATAAAATAGTTTCTAAATGACAGGCCTAAAACTGGAACTAAAGTAAGCAAAAATAAAACTTCTACAGATAGGTTTGAGAAACCAACTGCTCATCTACATAAAAGAAGATGAACAAACTTTGTAGTAGTTCTAGTCAAAAAGTGACTTGGGCTCTTACTCTGGAGGGCAAAATTAGTACCAAAAGCTGAAGCTTATAGGATGGCATGTTTTGAGGCCTAATTCAAGAGTTAATGCTTTAGCACTAACATTAATTGTCCCAAAAATGAGACTGGCTTTTTGCCTTAGGTGGTAATGAACTTCTCATTATTATGGGAATTCAAAAAGAGGTTACATGAACAGGCTCGAGTGCTCCCATTACAGGAAATTAGTATGTTATATGGCACACAGTATTAGTTGGCTTCTGAAGTCCTTCTTTAAATCCTTTGAATCCATAGTACTCATCTTTATAATATTCTAAATATTTCGTGCCTGTTTCTTCTTCTAAGCAAGTTTGTAAATTTTGTAAGTTGAAAAGTATCTGTTTTCATGTACTCCCTCCTATTGCTATGAATTGATGAAAGGGAAAGATAGACCACGGTTTTTAAACCTTGACAGTATTGAGATTTTAGGCTGGAAAACTCTGTGTTGTGAGGGGATGTCTTGTACATATTGTGGGATATTTAGCAGTAGCCTGGCTTCTATCCACTAGATCCCAATAGCAACTCCCAATTTGTGACAACCAAGTGTCTACAGACGTTGAAAAATGTCCTCTCGGGGACAAAATTACCCCAGCTGAGAATCACTAAGAGAGGCTATTCAGTGAAAAGTATAATATAGAGCTTCTCAAACTTGAGCTACACATGGAGCTTTCTTGAGGGAAGCTACAATATTTCTTACGTGCCTCTAGTGTTGACTTAAATTACTTTTAATGAATTACTTATGTTATTAAGCAACTATAGCATAAGCTATATTATAACTATATTATACTGTGTATCATCTTTTATATACTGAAATATTTCTATACAACAAAAGAACAAAAAATTTACAAAATTACATACAAACAAAACTACAAAACCAATAAAATAATATTAGATCATATAATTTAAACTTAGGTTCTTCTGAGTTTGGTATACCTAGACCATGTATCATATGAGGCCTCAATTCTCCACTGCTTTTCTCTCTTTGAACAGTTGATTCTTCCAAACCTTTGTTCATTCATGCAGAGCTCCCTTTGGCTATCCCTGAGCTGGGTACATCTTGGGCATATGAAGTTTACCTTTGCCATTTTGCCATAGCATTTTTTTTTTTTTTTTTTTTTTTTTTCGGAGACAGAGTCTGCTCTGTCTCCCAGGCTGGAATGCCATGGTACGATCTCCTCTCACTGCAACCTCCACCTCCTGGGTTCCAGTGATTCTCCTGTTTCAGCCTCCCCGAGTAGCTGGGATTACAGATGCCCACAACCATACCTGGTTAATTTTTATGTTTTTAGTAGAGATGGGATTTCATCATGTTGGCCAGGCTGGTCTTGAACTCCTGACCTCAGGTGATCCACCACCTCGGTCTCCCAAAGTGTTCGGATTACAGGCATGAGCCACTGCGTCCGGCCTGTCATAGCTCTTGACAACAAAATCATACTTCTTGCTGCTAATGGGCACAAACAAAACTAAGGGTGATTAGTTTGAATGTCAGTAAAAGATGGTCATAGACATGATCCAGACAATGCTATTATTAGTTTTTAAAATATTGTCGTAAAATAAAAATGTAAAAAATAAATTTAACATGTGTAAAGGCCTTAGAAAAAATTGTGGCACATAGTCAAAACTCAATAAATGTTTGTTGTTTGTATTGTTATGGTCCTAGAATTGATTTATGTATCGTATAATGGCAGTGTATTTTCTGCCTATATTGATAAATGTTGATACCCAATTCATTGTGAGTTGTTTAACAATATTTATTTGACATAGATTCAGATTACCTACAGCCACTTCAACTTGTCTGTGTAGACCAATGCTACTAAAAGCATAGTACCTGGACCAGCAGTATCAGTATCACTAGAGAATTTATAGAATTTTGGGGTTTTACCTCAGACTTACTGAATCAGAACTTCTGGAAAAGGGGCCCAAGAATCTGTGATTTAACTAGCACTACATGCTAATGTTTGAGAATACTGGGGTACAAATCAAATCCAAAAAGTCACCTAAGGCCACTCATCCGGCCAAGCATCTTGATTGTATGCTGTGACTGTGACGAGAAAAGAGAACAGAAAGACTGCTTCCGTCCAAAAGCACAATTCAGTAGAATAAAATGTAGTCTTTAAACCTGAACCGGAAAGACGCAAAGTCTAATCTAACTCTTCTTTCCTGCTAGGGGAGAAAGAAGCAGAAAATAACATGCATAATTTATTCTGAAAATCTGATTAAAAGAAAAATTTCATTGTATATACTTTTGAACCTACAAATTTCAGTGCTGATGACATGCTAATTCTTATGGTAGACATTTTAGAAACTTTCTCTTTGGACTTTACAGCAACTATGGAAAGTAGGTATTATTGTGCCTATTTTAAAGTAAGGAATAAGCATATCATTACCAAAACAAGCTAAGATTTAGGGATGCCAGTGCTAATAACTTGTGTGATGCGTTTTACCATACTTTTTTTTTTTCTGAGATGGAGTTTTGCTCTTGTTGCCCAGGCTGGAGTGCAATGATGCTATCTTGTCTCACTGTAACCTCAGCCTCCTGGGTTCCAGTGATTCTCCTGCCTCAGTCTCCTGAGTAGGTGGGATTACAGGCCCCTGTCACCATGCCCAGCTAATTTTTTTTCTTTTTGTATTTTTAGTAGAGATGGGGTTTCACCATGTTGGCCAGACTGGTCTAAAACTCCTGACCTCAGGTGATCCACCTGCCT